AGAGAAAAAAAACGAAGAGAAGAAAACTTGACAAGGGAAGTAACCACAAGAATGCCTCCAGTACAACAAACTTTTGTCAAGTAGAAGAACAGTGTCATCGCGGGGGAAGGGAGATAACCAAGTTTATCAGTTGTTTTTTGCCCCCGCGATAAGGGAGCGGTGAGTGAGAGTGACTGTTGTGAGAAAGTTTTCTGTTAGGAAAAATCTATTGCTTTGGTTTGCTTGATCCATTTTCTTTTTATCGATCTAATTGCCTTTTTCTTCATTTCTTTCGGTGTCTCTGATTTCTTGAAAGAGACGAAAAGAAGAAGGAGGGAGTGAGTGAGTGGAAGGGATGTGGGTGTAGGGGAGGGGGTGTGGGTGAAGGGGGGACGGGAGAGGAGATAACAGTAATATACTCAACAACAAAAGAAACGCAAATGATATACAAAATAAAAGAAGATACAGACATTGGTTAGTAATTTGGGATTTTATTGATTTTTTTGTCACATTTATTGAAGAGGGTTCCTCTGTAAGGCTTAACAGTCCTGTTGGAGAGAAAACACGTTGAATTTGCTGTGGAAAATGATGAACTGGAGTTAAAGGGTATGTCCATAAGTCGGTGATGTCAGCTTTGAATCAATAGCGATTGTACCCGCCATTTGCGTTCAAAACAGCTTGGCACCTGTTTGGCAATGACCTCACAAGTCTGTGAATTATAGCCATGTTCACATTTGCACCAATTTGTGTGATGGCTCGCTGCAGCTGAGGTGCTGTCGTTGGTCTTGGCTGCAAACGATTCAGTTGTCTTCGGATGTGGTCCCAGTACTGTTCGATCAGGTTGAGGTCTGGGCTCATTGAGGGCCATGGCAGCACCCTGGCATTGTTCTGCTGTAAGAAGGCTGCTGTAGCTCTTGCAGTATGGGGTCGGGCATTGTCGCGCTGCAGGATAAGGTTCGTGTGTTGCTGGGAATGAGATATGATCACAGGCGCCAGTACCTGTTGAATGTAGCGCTGTGCATTTACACCGTTACCTTGACCAGGTCCAATGTTTTGGAAAACAACGGGTTCCAAGTGTTGGTTTAGGCCGATCGCGCCCCAGATCATTATGCCGGGACCACCCGATGCATTGTCCTGCAGGACGTTGTTGTCAGCAAACCGTCGGTTGGGTCTTCTCCACATCAGATTCCTCCATCTCCTTGACTTACGCAAAAACTGCTTTTGTCAGTGAATGGGACATTTCTTCACTGTCACCTGACCCAGTTCTCATGTTGCTGAGCCTACGCCAAACGTTGCTGCCGATGTTTTGCAGTAAGGATTGCACGTCTCTAAGGTCGACGACACTGCAGTTGTCCTTCTCGAGGTCGGTGTCGCACAGTCTGACCTGAAATAGCTCTCCCATGGTTTCCAACGATATTTCTGACCGATTCTGTAGCACACAAGAAGCTGTCTCGTCGGTGATTCTGCAGAAGGGTACGGTCTTGGTGTACTGACGTCACTCGTGGTCGGCCAGCTCTTTGAGCATCACGAGTACTTCCAGTAATTTGAAAACGTCTCGGAGTCAACATATTGTTGAGAGTGACATGCCCATGACAATAGACAGATCTGTTGGACTCTTTCCGCCTGCAGTCTGCCGATAGCCCTTTCTCGGTTTGCTTCGTTGAGTTGTAGCATGGTCGCTGGCTCAAAACACGCGACAGAAGAAAACGTCATGTCCTGTCAATTCATACCCCTCGGTCGGGTGAATACTTTTCAGAGGATAAAAACTGCTCACCAACTGGAATGCTTAAGAAAATACTCAGTTTGCACTTTTTTCTTCGCCGCCATATTGCGACCTCATTTTATACTGTGAGGATTTTTCAGCTTGGTGGCATGAGCTCACAGCATCACTGAATACAAAAAAATCGGCCTTGGCCTGCATTCTAGCGAATGTGGGTTATTAAATACCGGAGTCTTTAAGTAGCTGTATGACTTGTGTAACTTTTGTTGCTGAGTATAGTACATCACTACGCTAGAAAAATAGCTTAATAAGTCAGAGTTGTACCTAAACGCAACTAGCCTTTTTTTAAAATTGTTTTTGGTGGTACAATAAGCATTGCAAGTTTTATCATTAGTAGGTGATAAATAGTCAAATTAAACAGTTATGCAGTTGCCAGAGCCGTAAAACTCTTACTAAAACAAACAAAGTTAAACAGGTTTTCCCATCTATCAAAAACAAAATGTGTCATTTTGCGAGAGGAGTGACGATTAGAGGAACTTTCTCCTGTAGAAATTTAGGCACACCATTTTGGAGGTGGCCTACTTCCATCCTCACTTCCAGGATCTACCATTACTGAGTGGGATACAACATCCAAGAGGACAGACGTAGATATTCGATTAATAAGACCCCCCCAACTCCCACCCCCACCCCAAATAAAAACCCCAACAACAAACACACACACATAAAAAGAGAAAAAAAAACCCCCAAAAACCCCAACCCCCTCACCCCCAAGAAAACAATAAAACTTCCCCACTCGGCAATCAAGCTCACATCCTTTGTGTATAACGGAGTAAAACCTACTACACCACTGACGCTTCTCTCTCTCTCCCTCTCTCTCTCTCTCTCTCTCTCTC